TAGCACTTACTGATGAAGACTGAAGACTGCATACAGTCTGCAGTATGTATTCCACCTCAGTATAAAGAACACAGAAATCCTCATAATGGGACCAATAAGCAGCATCATGATAATGGAGAAAATATTGAAGTTGTCAAAGACTTCATATTACTTGGTTCTACAATCAACACCAATGGGAGCAGCAGTCAAGACATCAGATGACATACTGCATTGGGCAAATCTGCTGCAAAAGATCTCTTTCAAGTGCTGAAGAGCAAAGATGTCTCCTTGAAGACTAAGGTGTGCATAACCTAAGCTGTGGTATTTTCAGTCACCTCATATGCATATGAGAGCTGGTCAATGAATAAGGAAGACTGAAAGAGAGTTGATGCTTTTGAGTTGTGGTGTTGGCGAAGCACACTGAAAGTACCATGGATTGCTAAAAGAATGAACAAAATCTGTCCTGAAACAAGTGCAGTCAGAATGCTCCTTGGAAGCTAGAATGGCCAGACTTCGTCTCACTTACTTTGGTCATGTTGTCAGAAGGGACCATTCCCTGGAGACGGATGTCATGCTTGGTAAAGTGGAAGGTCAACGAAAAAGGGGAAGACCCTCAACAAGGTGGATTGACACAGTGGCTGCAATGATGGGCTCAGGTATAGTAAAGATCATGAGGCTGGCACAGGACCAGGCTGTGTTTCATTCTTTTGTACATAAGGTCACTATGAGCCGTAGATGACGGCACCTAACAACAACAACTTCCTGGAGTTGTTATAAGGATTAATAATGTGTATAAACTCTTACTAGTGGGCATGGCACACAGCAGCAACTATTATTACTACCATTTTCAGTGACTGTTTAAGCTGAAGTTTTAGTTTGGTGTAGTCATTTCTGCTGGTTCATAAGTGATAATAAGATCCAATTTTACATGCTTAAGTGACTTAGGTTTCCAATTTCTTACATTGAGTCTTAGAAAATAGCTAGATGTTGATGAGGCCTTAGCTTTTCTTCCAAATCTTTTTTTTTTTTTTTTTTTTGCTTATTGACATTGTATGAACTTAATGTAGGAAATTAGAAATTTCAGAGTTGTGCAAAGAAATGGGAAAAGTATCTCCCAAAGTCCTACATTAGAAAACTACGTCTCACCTTTTTCTAGGTCATGGATGCCTTTGAGAATCTGATAAATATCATATAATTCTCCACCACCCCCCAAAATTTTTGTACATATACACAAACATTTGCATACAATTTTAGAAATTGCCATTTGTACCTGAAAGTTACAAAACCCTAACCTGGCTTCCATGCCCAAATTCCAGAGAGTCCAGGTGCTGTTTTCATATTCATATAAGAGCTTCTGAATCCCTTGGTTCTTCCAAGTCAAGCTGCACTTTATTTATTTATTTATTTTGTTGTTGTTAGGTACTGTTGAGTTGGCTCCAAGTCATAGTGACCCTGTGTACAACAGAAAGAAACACTGCCTGGTTCCATGCCATCCTCTTAGTACTTCTAGCTTGAGCCTATCGTTGCAGCAACTATGTCAGTTCATCTTGTTGAGGGTCTTACCCTTTTTCGCTGACCCTCTGCTTTACCAGGCAGAGTTATCCTTCTACATGGAGAGGTCTCATCTGACAACGTGACCAAAGTAGGTGAGACAAAGTCTGGCCATTCTTGCTTCTAAGGAGCATTCCGGCTGCACTTGTAGGACAGATATGTTCGTTCTTTTGGCAGTCCATGGTATTTTCAGTATTCTTCGCCAACACCACAATTAAAATGCATCAGTTCTTCTTTGGTCTTCCTTATTCTTTCCTTTTAGTCTTGCTTTTTTTTCCTCTTCCTAAATTTTGTTTTTTGTTATTATTTAGAATATACACAGCAAATGCACCAATTCAACAGTTTCTACATGTGCAATCTTGTTACGATTATTATATTCTTCGAGTTGTGTAACCATTCTCATACTCCTTTTCTGAGTTTTTTTCTCCCTCATTAACATAAACTCACTGTCCCCCAAGGTTTCTGTGTAATCTTTTGAGCTGCTGTTTATGTGATCCCACATAAAACCAAAACCAAACCCCTTGCCATTGAGTCAATTCTGACTCATAGTGACCCCCACTGGGTTTCCAAGGCTATAAATCTTTACAGAAGTAGATTATCCCATCTTCCTTCCACAGGGCATTGGTGGGTTTTAACCACCCACTTTCCGGTTAGCAATCAAATACCTTAGGCACTTTGCTACCAGAGCTCCTTTGATCCCATATAGAGTTCTTAAAAGAGCATAATGCTCAAGGCAGACCTTTTAAACTACTGTCGGGTTTAAGATGACTTCAGGGGATATTTTTAGTTTAAGGTTTAAGGGGTTCATCTACCCTCCTTGGCCCCATTAGTCTTGTTTTTTAAGGCTCAAGTTCTTAGACTAAGAATTGGTTCTCTTTGATTACTTTTTTGCAATATAACTACCCACTTAAAAAAAAAAAAAAAAAAAAAAAAAAAAACTCACTGCCATTGAATCGATTTGACTCATAGCGACCCCTCATTGGGTCTCCGAGGCAGTATCTCTACAAAAGTAGATCGCCCAATCTTCCGAGGAGTGGCTGGTGGGTTTGAACCATCAACCTGCTGTTTAGCAGTCAGATGCCCCACTGGACTTTCATTAATGAACTGTTTTAATACCTGTTTAGAGAGATAAGTTTAACTTTGATTTCTTTGTACCTACATGGTTTTGTTTATGTGTCTTGGGGTAAATTCAAGAGAGAAATGAGAGCCTATCTTATGAGTAAGGAATCCACCATATTTTTGCTTCCTCTTCCTCTCTTCATCTTGACCGTGGCTCTTTGTGTAAAGACATTTCACTGGTGGCATTAGACATTTTTCAACAGCCAAAGAGAAAAGAAAATAGAGTGGAGTTTCTGGTCCCCCCCAGTTTTGCAGTGAGGGGAGCAGGCAAGATTTGTAATATTTTTTATTTTTCTTCTTTCCTCCTTGTTCCAGGGCTATTCAAATCTAGAACTATGTCGTGATGGAAATGTGGATTGGTGGAGGAATCATGTATGGTACATGCAGCTTGGGAGTGGGTGTCTTCAGCCCACATGCTGTACTGTACTTTAGTTTCTTGGCTCTGGTGCACAAATTCCACAGAGAGAAAACAACCACCCCAGCCCTGTTTTCACACTCATATAAGGGCTTTTGCATCCTTTTTGATTTTTTTTTTTTTTTTTGTAATCAGATTGCCCTTTATTTCAGTCTGCAAAGACACATGTCTTCTGTCTCTTTTTTTCTCTGAAATCAGCAGCTCTTGTTGAATGAATCTGTCTCTGGATAGGTCTGTGTGTTGTGCATACAGGGCAGGCTGAAGTAAGGCACCTCACGTGGAGATGTGTTGCTGCTGCCCTCAGTCACAGGCCCACATCCGCTTTTTCTTGGACTACTATCAGGGCCTCCCAACTGGTCTCCCTGCTTCTGATCCAGCTTCAACCCTGCATCCAAAGTTTCATTAAAAAAATACCCATCTGTTGATGTCACTCTTCTGTTTAAAGCCTTTCAATGATGCTTCATTACCTTTAGAATAAAGTCCACATTCATTTGTATGGCTTCCAGGGCTTTGCAAGTCCTGGGCCCTATCTGCCTACCAGCATTCTTCTTCATACTGTTACCCCCATGCACCAGCCACACCAGCCTCTCACAAATTTATCATTTTGGCACTTTCCTCCTTTATATATATGTTTCCTACATCCAGATTGTCTTTCCTTACTTTTGCTGCCTCTTGAACACTTTTTCATCCTCTGATGCACAGCTCAAATGTCACTTCTTACTAGGATGCCTTCCCAGATCCACCAGGCAGAGTTTGTTGCTCCCTTCTCTGCCTTCCTGAGATGTAGTATAGTGTTGCACATAACAACAACAAAAAGTGGTTACAAGTATGGGCTCTAGAGTCAAACTTCCTGGGTTTCAGTCCTAGCTGGGCCCCTCCCTAGATGTGTGACTGTCAGAAAAATAAATTACCTACCCTCTTTACCTTAGTTTCCTCATCTGTAAAATGGGCATAGTATTAATGAACCTCCTAGGCTGTTGTGAGGATGGAAAAAGGCAACAGTTTAAAGTGTTTAGTATAGTGCCTGGCAATAATTAGCTAAAAATCTGGTTGCCAATGAGTCGATTCTGACTCATGGTAACCCCATGTGTGCCAGAGTAGAACTGTGCTCCATAGGGTTTTCAGTGGCTGATTTTTCAGAAGTAGATCACCAGGCCTTTCTTCTGAGGTGTCTCTGGGTGAACTTGAATCCCCAGCCTTTTGGTTATTAGTTGAGCATGTTAACCATTTGTCGCAAGGGCCATAAATTAATCCCCCCAAAAAACCAAACTCACTGCATCGAGTTGATTCCAATTCATAGTGACCCTATGGGACAGAGTAGAACTGTCCTATAGGGCTTCCAAAGTTGTAAATCTTTACAGAAGCTGACTGCTTCATCTTTCTCCCACAGAGCAGCTGGTGGATTCGAACCACCAATCTTTTGGTTAACAGCCAAATGCCTTAACTACTGTGCTACCAGAGCTCCTTAAGGTCATAGTTAGCACTCGATAAATATTACTTTTTTTTGTTGTCGTTCCCATGGTTTGTGTATACCTCTACTAACTTTTTGCCACCTCTGTTTATATAGTTTTATATATCTGTACTCCTTGAGGACTGGTGCTGCCTTGTTCATTTTGCCTGGCCCTCTGTGTAGAAGTTCACAGTAAATGTTGGTTGAATGATTTATTGCACAGATTTGCCTTCAAAATAGAAACGAGCAATAGGTAGAGCAAGGAATGCTGAAACTTGGATTTGCAAATGATCATAGGGCCAAAGTTGATCTAATCTTGATGTCAACTGGTTTATCCTTTTCAGGGCATGGATCCCTTCTGCTGCCTCCTGGAGGACAGACAGTGCTCTTATGTTGCTAACTTAGGGCAGGAGGCCATGTGTAAGTTAAGTGCATACCCTAGGCACCAAGCTCATGTCTGTTTGTTGTTTTTATTTTGAACTGTAGGTGACATGTCTGAGAGTAAAGCCAAGAAGATTGAAATCAAGGATGTGGATGGGCAGACGCTGAGTAAGCTGATTGACTATATCTATACTGCTGAAATTGAGGTGACTGAAGAGAATGTCCAGGTAAACCCAGGCCTAGCTGATAGCTCAGTGTATCGCACAGGTGCTGCCCACTGTTTACATGCATTGTTTCATTTAACCTTGTTTTGGTTATCTAGTGCTGCTCTAACCACAAATGGGATGGCTTGAACAAATAGGAGTTATTCTCTTATAATTTTGGAGGCTAGAAGTCTGAGTTCAAAGTGCCAGGCTCTAGGGGCTGGCTGAAAGCCCCTCAACCTTGGGTTTCAACTCTGCCTCCTGCTCCTGGCTGGAAGCTGGAGGCTTTTCTTCACTCAGGCAGCTGCTGACTGCTGAGGCTAACAAACCCAAGGTCGACAAGTAAAAAGGCACAGTCCCAATGTTACCAAACAACACAGTAGGCCATTGATTCAAGTCCATTGAAAGTCTCAAGATTGGCAGAGCATGACAGGCTGCTGAACAACAATTCAGCTACATGCAGGGTTCAAGCATGCCATAAGCTAGAGACCATTCCCAAAGCTGCTGCTTATATATGGGAAGCAGCCCATACACCCAAAGGCAGCTACTCAGCTGCTTGTGGTAGATCCCACCATGGGGTTGATTCCCAGTCTCATCATGGGGAATAACTATGTCCAGCTGCCCATCCACTCAACCAGGCCCAGCCAAGTTGACACACAAACTTAACTACCACAACCCTCACAACAACTTAGTGTGTAACTGAAGGGGAAACTAAAGCTCCAAAGAGGCTAGGTGACTTGCTTTGTGTCATGTGGCCAGTAAATAGGTGAACTGGCCCTCAAACTCAAGCCTGCCTGACTCTGACACCTATGCTCTTAACCATTAAGCTATATTACCTTCAAGTAAGCTTGGCCTTCCAAAGGAGAAAGTCTTTTGAACTCATGTCAGTTCAAAATTTTGGTGAAGGAAGAACGAGAAGCCTGTGTGACCCAGGTTCTCCCCATGTTGTCATCTCATCTCAGGGATTTTGAGTATTGGGTTGTAAGTCTTTAAAATTTGTTCCTCTTTCAACATTAGTCCACCAAATATCTCTGAGACTGGCAGGTGCCAAGCACAGAACTGAACCTCAGCAAGACTTTGAGGTTGTAAAATGTATTTTCTGTGCCCTTTTCCTCCTTTCACTGGCCTGCCCTCACCCTCAGCCATCTGGAGTCCTGAAAAGGGAGCCAGCAAAGATGATGCTTCACTCACAAGTGTGCATCTTTTGTGTGGGAACATGAGGCATCAGTATCATCTGTAGTAGGGGAGATGGTTGAGGGTGTGCCCTCTCTCGAGCCCTAGAAGTCACTGTGCTAAAAACAGATACAGGATACACTATTTCTTGTTCTTAGTGTCCTACTATTTAATTAGTTATGGAAATTAATGTAATGTGAAAGGTTTTTTTTATTTTTTACAAGCACAATACTATCCTAGTTATTTGTTGTGAGGCAAATACCTCTCTAGTTATCAAAATACCTATTTCCCTTATCCAAACTACTACCCTCTTTTCCAGGATTGTGATAGGGGGCTAAATTGATAATGGTTTATTCATTCAATTCAGCCCAAATGTATGAGCACCTGTTATGTTCCAGTCTTGGATACTATGGGTTGTACCAGTGAGCAGTGGTGCTTCTGTTGCCTGCCCTCATGGAGCTTGCAGTCTAGTGATAAAGACAGATGTTCATCAGATATGCACACAAGTATATGCCTATGTATAAATTGTGATAAATCCTTTGAAGGAAAATAACCTTGTACAATGAAAGAGAATATAAGGGGAACTCAATTTGGATGGAAGAAAGGATCTGGGAGGGGCTCTTTCAGGAGATAAACTGTTTAAGCTGAGGCCTTCAGGATGAGTGGGAGTTAGTTTGGTGTGGTGACTGGTACTCATAGAGCAAGACGTAGGTATGCTTGAGGAACACTGCACTTGGGCCTGCAGAGTCTACCCATGATACAGCCTGTCTTTGTCTCTGGTCCCTGAGACAGTCTCTTGGATTGTATAATTTCTACAGTCATTAGTCTACCAAATGCCTCTGAGCACCAGTGGATACCAACCAGCAGGCCTGAGCCTCAGCAGGACCATGGTGATGGTTGGTTACATACTAGGCCTAGCAGCAGAATTCAAACTGCTGAATGACTTTTGGGCAGTAACAGTAAGTGCAAAGTAATTTAGTATAAATTGAGTACAACAGTGAGAGGCAGTTGTAGAATTGTATGATTGGAATTGGGTGGAGTAAGTCAATGAGGTAAATTCGGAGCCTGCTTTTTTTTTTTTTTTAATTGTGATTTGGGTGAAGATTTACAGAGGAAATTCACTTTCCATACAGCAGTTCACATACACTTTGTCTCATGACATTGACCACAATTTACCACAATGTAACAGCTCCCCTCCCACTTCCTCCTGATAGTTACCTCTTCCCTGTGTCCATCCCTCCATTCATTCCTGCCCTCTGAGCTGTCTGCCTGTGCATAAGCAGCCCTTCTTTCTCCCATGATTGTTCTCTCCAAGGAGTGTATCTACCTCAGGTAAATGTTCAAGTCATATGCCTGTCTAATGTTTGGCTGGAAGCCACAGGTATGGGTTCAATTCCAGACCTGAAGGGCAGCTAGGGACCATAGTCTCAGTGGCTCCACCACTGAGCCTGCTTTTGAAGAAATTATTTTAGCTTTCTCTTCCCTTTTCATCATATATCTAATAACTTTTTTTCTTGTAATGTACAAGGTGTTTATACATTTGAGTAATTAGAAGATATTCCATTCCTGGCTATTTGTCTTTGCAATTTTGGCCTAACCCAGTGGTTGATCTCTCTAAAACTAGCTTTTTAATTTTTATTATAGTTTGGATGGAAGTTTATAGAGCAAATTAGTTTTCCATTCAACAATTTATACACATTTGGCTTTGTGACATTGGTTGTGATCCTTTCAATACAACAGCAATCTTCACACTTCCTCCTTGGATTCCCCATTTTCATTTGTCCTTCTTTCCTGCCTTCTGAACTTTGCTTTTGGGCATATACTGCCATTTTGGTCTCATATTGTTGTGATTGTTCTGAGGAGTACATTCCTCCCTGGTGTTATTATTCACTTTATAGGCCTGTCTGTTGTTTGGCTGAAAGTTGATCTCTGGACGTATGTTCAGTTCCAGATTTGAAGGGTTTCTTTCCAAGGGCCACAGTCTCAGGGATTTCATCAGTCTCTATCAGACTGGTAAGTCTGGTCTTTTTTATGATTTTAAATTTTGTTCTACATTTTTCCCCCTCCCTTTCTGTCCAGGGTCTTCTGTTGTGATCCTGATCAGAGTGGTTGGTAGTAGTAGCTGAGTACCTTCTTGTTCTTCTGGTCTCAGGTTAGAGGAAGCTGTGGTTCATGTGGCCCGTTGGTGTTTTGGACAGTCGTTTCCCTGAGCCTTTGATTTTCCTCACTCTTCTTTTCTCTGGATGGAGATAGACCAACAGTTGCATCCTAGATGGGTGCTTATAAGCTTTTAAGAACCCAGTTACTACTCACCAAAGTATGATGTAGAACATTGCAAGTCTCAGCTTTGCTATTACTTCACAAAGTTCTCTTACTCTGGTCTTTTGTGGGGTCTCAGTTGTTCCATCTGTGAAGTGGAAGGCATGGGATTCAGTGACCTCTTAGGTCCTCCCAGATGCCTGTCCAGGGAAGACTTATACTCTGCCACCCTCTGGCTTGCTTTCATTACCTCCTACCAGAGCTTCCCTGACACCTCTGGTGACACCCTGACTCAGGGATCAGTTTTCTCATCTATTGAGTGGTTGTAAGTTAGATTGTTGTTAGGTGCCATTGAGTTGGCTCTGACTCATAATGACAACAGAACGAAACACTGCCTGGTCCTGCTCCAGCCTCACAATCTTTGCTATACCTGAGCCCACTGTTGTAGCCACTATGTCAGTCCATCCTGTTGAGGGCCTTCCCCATTTTTGTTGACCTTCCACTTTACCAAGTATGATATCCTTCTCCAGGGAATGGTCCCTTCTGACAAAAATAAAAAAAGCATGAGAGACAAAGTCTGGGTATTCTTGCTTCCAAGGAACATTCTAGCTGCATTTTTTCCAGGACAGATTTGTTAGTTCTTCTGACAATCCATGGTACTTTTGGTATTCTTCGCCAACACCATAACTCAAAAGCATCAACTATTCTTCGGTCTTCCTTATTCATTGTCCAGCTTTCACAGGCATATGAGGTGATTGAAAATGCCGTGGGTTGCGTTAGGTTCACCTTAGTCTTCAAGGGGACATCTTTGCTCCTCATCACTTAAAAGAGGTCTTTTGCAGCAGATTTGCCCAGTGCAGTATGTCGTCTGATTTCTTGACTGCTGCTTCCACTGGTGTTGATTGTGGAACCAAGTAATATGAAATCTTTGACAACTTCAATCTTTTCTCTATTTATCATGATGGTGCTTACTGGCCCAGTTGTGAGGATTTTTGTTTTCTTTATGTTGAGGTGTAATCCATATTGCAGATTGGTGTCTTTAATCTTCATCAATAAGTGCTTCAAGTTATTTTCACTTTCAGCAAGCAAAGTTGTGTTGTCTAAATATTACAGGTTGCTAATGAGTCTTCCTTCAATCCTGATGCCACACTGTTCTTCATATAGTCCAGCTTCTCAGATTATTTGCTCAGCATACAGATTAAATAAGCATGGCAAAAGGATACAACCCTGACACACTCCTTTCCTGATTTTAAAACATGCAGTATCTCCTTGTTCTGTTTGAATGACAACCTCCTGGTCTATGGACAGGCTTCTCATGAGCACAATTAAGTGTTTTGGAATTCCCATTCTTCTCAGTGTTATCCATAATTTGTTATGAACCACACAATCAAATGTTTTTGCATAGTCAATAAAACACAAGTAAACATCTTTCCAGTATTCTTTGCTTTCACTCAAGATCCATCTGACATCAACAGTGATATCTCTTGTTCCACATCCTCTTTTGAATCCAGCTTGCTTTTCTGGAAGTTCTCTGTCAATATACTGCTGCAACCGTTTTGAATCATCTTCAGGAATATTTTACTTGCGTGTGA